GTGGCTAATAGCCACTGATGGACCTCTGCTCCATATAAGAACATAAGAGAAGCCAATGTTGGATCAGGCCAAAGGCCCATCCAGTCCAACACTCTGTGTCACACAGTGGCCAGAAATACCAGGTGCCCTCGGGAGGTCCAGCAGCGGGACCAGGACACTAGAAGCCCTCCCACTGTTGCCCCCACCCAAGCACCAAGAATACAGAGCATCCCTTGCCCCAGAATGAGAGTTCCTATATATACCTTGTGGCTAATAGCCACTGATGGACCTCTGCTCCATATAAGAACATAAGAGAAGCCAATGTTGGATCAGGCCAAAGGCCCATCCAGTCCAACACTCTGTGTCACACAGTGGCCAGAAATACCAGGTGCCCTCGGGAGGTCCAGCAGCGGGACCAGGACACCAGAAGCCCCTCCCACTGTTGCCCACCCCCCAAGCACCAAGAACACAGACTGAGAGTTCCTATCTATACCTTGTGGCTAAGAGCCACTGATGGGCCTCTGTATAAAAACATACAAAAAGTCACCATTTAAAAACTCCAGTTAGACATGCCAATAAATAAAAACTAGATGTGTCCATGATTATCAAGACAGCACAGTTGAATCGAAGGGCCGGCTATAAAAGCAAATACACACAATGGGAACCAGGCTTGAAAGAAATGTAATATCAGTGCTTCTAAAGACAAAAAAAGTATCACGGGGTGATTGATGTGACCCAGCAGCATCCCGGAGAGCCCAGATGGTAACGGTGGATCAGAGCAGAGGTCCATCAGTGGCTATTAGCCACAAGGTATAGATAGGGACTCTGGGGCAAGTGATGCTCTTGGTGCTTGGGGGGTCAACAGTGGGAGGGCTTCTGGTGTCCTGGCCCCACTGGTGGACCTCCTGATGGCACCTGGTATGATGGCCCCTGGTATTTCTGGCCACTGTGTGACACAGAGTGTTGGACTGGATGGGCCTTTGGCCTGATCCAACATTGGCGTCTCTTATGTTCTTATGTTCTTTTCCTGGTCCTGTGATGCCTCCACCTCGTGGTTTCCACCTGCTCGCCTTTTTAAAAAGAAGTTGTTATTTCTGTTTGCAC